CGTTTTAATAAGAGCCGTGTGTGTTCAACGCTCTGCTTCCACTCCCTGCACTGCAGCCTTGCCTGCAGTCCCTCCCTCTCAAGCACGCTCTAAGTCCCTCCCCTCTCAAGCACGCTCTAAGTCCCTCCCCTCTCAAGCACGCTCTAAGTGCCTCCCCTCTCTCGTGCACGCGCTAGCTGCCAGAGCATGTGAGAAAACGAGAAGCATGGCTGCAAGTGGGAGTGCAGCTGCCGCTGCGCCTCGGCTTGTTGAGAAAAAAGACGCCAGAAGCTAAATTTGGAAGTATTTGAGCTATATCTCTGACAGTGAGGGCAAGCCTACGGACACCACGAGGCCTGTCTGTGAGACATGTATTAATTTTATTTAATACGAATTCTTGTCATTTATTTTATTTATTGTTCTCATTGTTTAAAAGTTTGTGTTATGGTTATGGTTCTGGTGTGAAATAAAGCACAATAATTACATTTAAGACTGTTTTTTAAGAAAAGTATCGAAAAATAATCGGAATCGCAATTCTTGACTTGGTATCGAAACCAAAATGTTGGTATCGTGACAACACTAGCTACTCCTGACAGTTAAACCTGATATTTAGTAGGTCTGTTAAGTATTAACGTAATTTGGCCGGTCAAAGTTGTTTGGGCTCGGATAAAATCGCTCCGTTACTTTCGTCCCGTGTTACTTTCGTCCCGTGTTACTTTCGTCCCGGCTCTCCCTATGTGTGTATGTGTGGTGTCAGGTGTCAGTATGAGAGGATGACAGCGCGTCTAATTTTGATGTGACCCAAGAGCCAATCACAATAATACCTGCGATGCAGTGAACCAATCACCTTTGAGGGGGGGAAAACCTATCGTTGATTAAACACTATCCAGTGTTTCCCCTACCATTGTGTTGGAGGGGCGCTGCGCCCCGCCAACGGAGCCCCGCGCCCCCCCCCTGAAATTCAAGGTGTTTCAAAAATATATATAATATATATTTTTTAAATATATATATAGCACCAAATTGCAAATAATCTATAACTACTGTCACTTTTCACATTGAACATGTGCTCTTTTATTAAATAAACTAAACGGTTTCATTTTAAGTTGTGAGTTTAGTGTTTTTGACCCTAAGAAACACTGATGCAATAATCAATAACAATAATCCACAGCTCCTCTCTCTGCTCCAGAGGATTTAAAAAATATATATCCCAATGCCACAAAGATGCATCAGTGACGTGGTTGAAATCTTGTCTCCAGAAAACAAAAAACTGAAACAAGCGTTATCAGTGACTGTGTGTTTGATGTGGCTCTTTGCAGTAACATAGAAAAAATGTGGCTCTTAACCTCTGACTGGTTGGCCACCCCTGCTCTAGTGCATCCATCTCTTCTACATTTTGTAATCCTCCAATTCTTTGCTTCATGAAATTTCTGCCATGGCATCATAAAGAGTTATTCGTATGTTTTCATGCAGACGCTCCGGTGAATGTAAAGGTTGAGCACAAGTCGGAAGTAAAGGAGGGAGAAGCTGTGCGGCTGAGATGCTCCAGTGATGCCTACCCTCCTGCCACCAGCTATCAGTGGCATAATGAAACAGGGTCCCAGCTGCATCGAGGACATGACTACACGCTGCTTAAAGTCTCCAGACACGCAGGAGCCCTGTACTGTACTGCCATCAATACAATAGGAAGTGGCAAATCCAACCCTGTGCAGCTCAATGTGTTGTGTAAGTAAATAATAAAGGATAGACTTTTTATTTAAACAAAATGGTATGCTGATGATTGATTAATGCACACAATGTACAACAATATCTGTTTTGTTTTTTTATTACAGCCTATTTTTATTTGTATTCCATATTTTATTCTTTTTTATTCCATTCCATTGCAATGTAAATACTGTTATATTTTATTATATTTTGTATTATTTTTAATATTTTTTCTAGTTCTCTATCTGTGTTTTAATTGTTGTTTTACTTTTATGTATGCACCACGACACCTAGTCAAATTCCTCTTAAGTGTAAACCTACCTGGTAATAAACCTGTTTCTGATTCTGATACAAGTTTGGCTCATAACTACACGTATTGTGCTTACAGATGCTCCTGAGATTGCGGAGGCCTCTTCCTGCACCTCGGAGGGAGATATGGTAAAGTGTGTGTGCATTTCGGATTCCAAGCCTCCCAGCATGCTCTACTTTGTGCTTCCTGACAGAGTCCTGCCAAGCACCAAGGTGGAGAAACATGGCTCTGTTACCATCGGGACTCTGCACGCAGAGTTAGGATCTTCTGTGGCTGTCTGCTGTCTGGCAAACAACACAATGGGCAATGCCAACCTCACACTCTCTCTACCTGTGAACAGTAAGGAAGAAGTGCATGACATACTCATAAAGACTGTAAATCATACACTGTGAAAGAGAAAAATGACAACACATGGTTTCTGTTTGGACAGGTAAGATGCTGAATCTATATATCATCATCGCCTCGGTAGCAGGTGGGATTCTGGTGATGATTTTTACAACGGTGAAAGTTGTTAAAAAATGGTAAGTTGATGCAGAAAAAGATTATTTTCACATACAACAATTATTCTGTAGATAGTGTTTATTTAACAATAGCATTCATCAGGGTGCTATAACACATTTAAAAATACGGGTACATTGAAATTCTGAATACAGCAGTCAACAGACACCAGAAAGCAATATATATATTTGGAGCATGTTGAGGGGTTTATCAGTACACGTTGTGAATGTGTCTTAAATGTTGTCATTATACAATATGTCATAATCGAACCACATCCTCTCAGGTAGATGAAGGTCAGTTTGTGAATTTGTATAGGGCATGATAACCTAGGATACATTTAGTAGTTGACATGGGTTTTAGCGGTTGTTAAAAGTGTGAGAAGATAAATTAAAACCTGGTTTCTGCCAGCAGGGGGAAGTCTGAGGATGCAAGAGAACTTCATCTTAGCTCTGTGAAGGCAGACGATGATGTGGCGCACCCTGTGTATGCTGCAACAAAAAGGTCATTCACCCCAGTAAAAACTAAAAGTTACATAAAGTGGCCTTGTGGGAGTTTATGTGCTAAATGTGTTTTCTGCATTCTGTCTTCAGAAAAGAGAGGTGCTATGATGATGTTAATTGCTCTAACGCCTATGACAATGACCATTTGTATGGCAACATGGAGGTATGTAAAACAAAATTCACTCATTCATTATTACCATGCATGAGAGAAGAGAGCGCTAATCTTTTTCCCATACAGAACGACTTGGATGACGCAGTATATGCAAATATGTAACAACGTTGAATTAAGTGGAGGAGCAGCTGCAGTCTCTCTCTGATGTCCAACTGATGTGGATCAACAAGTTAAATCAAAAGTATTGATATCCTAACTTTTTTGTATAGAAATACGTGTTCTATTTTTGTCTCCTGTAATTCATATATGCCTGTTTTTTTTATATGTTTATATCTAAAAAATAGCTTCCCCCTGACTGCTCGTAAGATTTTCAATAAAACGTGTTGTCAAAATCAACCAATAAACTATTGTAATTTTTCACTTGCAAATATGTTTGATAATACATTCTGCAAATGTAGCATTTTATCTGAATCTACATTTAGGAAGGCATGACTGCTTTACCAGAGTGACATACAAGAATTTCAACGTTTTAAATTGCAGACCTCCGGTTGAATAGCACATACTGTAGAGAACAGCTCAAATGTTGCACTTCTACACAGATGCACTGAACATATAGGCACTTACAAATCAGTTTAATAGTCACATCTGGAACAGAATAATTGTACTGCCACACAAACTGACTTAATACATTTAAGAAAGCCTGCCATGTAAATGGATCTGTATTTAAACACATGCAGCCTAACAGATTGTATTAAAAGATTCAAAGGCTTTATGGTAATGTGCGCAGTAGCTACAGTGTATCCACCATAAAGGACATAAAACAGTAAAACTAATACAAAAATAAAAGTAGTGCAAGAAGAACAAAGTAGAATAGAGTAAAATAAAATAGTGCAGATTGTGTTGCAAGACCAATGGGCAAGTAATGCAGATGAAGTGAACTATAAACAGTACATGTCAGAAATAAATAAAGCAATGGGCTAAATAATGTAGCGAATGTTGTAAGTGACTAAGTAAATGCAGAATTCTATGTACATGAAAATATAATAAGATATACAAGAACCGAATGTAAAATTACATATTGTACAGTAAGTTAAAATGAAATGCTGTTTATTGTAGTGATACATATTTTTGATTAACTTATTAATCAACAAAAACGTATGACAAAGTGAAAATATCCTGCATGCTCAGGTCATTGTGGAAAACCCCTTGTGTGAACATTGTGTCATTGTGTCAATGTTAAGTTAACAGGAAGGCTAAGGGGAAGCGTGTCAACTACCTTACTGTTAGATTAGAGTGTTGAAATGTTCATCACACATTTCTTACACTAACAACGCCTTATTCTCACCTCAGAATACAACTTCAAACCATCGGCAACACACATGTACTTTGGGAGATACAGTAGTCCTCAATAAACAGCACATATTTGTAATTATATTATTATTATTTGTAAAATGGGTTAAAATCTCGTGCATGTCATCCCCATGCGCCTTTAACTTGTATACAGTTTGATTCATTTTGCTATTTAAAACAATCAAATGACACACCAACCATCAAATGTTTAAAACATGTGCGTACAGTTTGCCTGCCTCCTGTTGATTCAGCATCATTTTGTGTTCGGACAATATAGGAAAGAAAAGCGTAACTTGCAATGTTCATAGATGTTTATACAGAAGGTCAACATTCTACATCATGGGTTCCCTTATATTTAAATGTGACAACATATTTAATTCTAGTTTACATCTATATAAATAACGATTTTCATCTTGTTTAACACAATCATAAGAGTCACCCAACACACTTTGCATTTAATGTTTTTTATTAATATTTATTAACACACTTAAATCAAATTGACAGAAGAAGACCTAAACAGAGAAGCATTTCTGAAGTAAACACACCAGATATTAGGTGGTAAATATCGGATTATGAGAGTGACACTGATTAGGTTGTCATTTGTGCCCTTTAAAATTACATTACAGTGTAAACGGAGTGACCGATTATGTTCAGTGTAGTTCACTTTTAACAAAAGTATCTCTGTCATCATACTACATATGGATAATAATTATGTATTTGCTATCAACATCTGCATGGAGAGTAATCTTGTATCCATGTGACAGCTGTAAGACATTGAACTACATATTTAAAACTTCTTGAAACATAAATTAATTGAACATGCATTAAGAAACACCCTTGCACTGGGCTCACGTCATGTTTTGATAATCATGGAGCTCGTCACCTTCTTCCCTCCTCTGTAATGCACTGTGCAGTTCAGAGGCTTGTTGAAATCGGAGAATTGAGGGGAGAAGGTCAGGGTTGACACTGTTTCCCACTTCCATGTATTCAGCTTCTTTGAGCGGCGGAGGATGTTTCCAGGGTGGCTCCAGCTGAATCGAGGTGGGATCGCTGGGCAGGCGTGAGACACGGAGCAGGAGGCAATCACCTTCTTATTCATCACCATAGACAGAACAGGAGGCTGTGGGTCGCCTGCCGAATGGGAATATATAATGACTCATAGGACAATGATTCAAATATTATTCACCAAAAATGTAATTATGTTGCCTTAGAAATGATTCAAACTATCTACAAAACTCACTTGTGACTTCGATGGTCACTGGGTTTGTAGAATAGGAGAAGCTTTTGTATTGCCGCATTTCAATCCTGAAGTGGAAAGGGCCAACATCGTTCTTCCCCACACTGTCCAGCAGCATGGAGCAGTTCCGTGCTGCAAGATTTCCCAAGAACTGGCTTCGTTTGTTGTACAACTTATTCAGTCTAAATTTGGGGACATTGGTTGAGACTACCTTTTTCCCTTTCAGCCAGAATCCCCTCCACCTGGCCAAGGGCTTCTTTGATTTGGGCATTGGGTAATTGTAGAGGCAGGGAATAACCACACAGGAGCCCTGCAACACACTAATCTTTTCCGGCACGGTCACTTTCCATTGGCTGCTGGAGGAATGGACATCATGGATCACTGAAACCAACAGAGAATGTTAGTTCGTCATGAAGGGTAACACAAGTTATTTGATGTTAAAGTACATTGCATTTTCAGACTCACCATGTAACAGCAGAAAGGGAAACAACAATTTCAGCTCCATCACTGGTGAGAAAGACAAGTTTAAAGTGTAAGAAAGCAAAAAGGCAATGAAAATAATACTAAAGAGTATCTCTGTTGCTCTCTCACCTCTGATCCTTTGATGGCTGCTGAATTGTCTTGCAGTACTTCTGAGATAGTTGTGCCTTGTCTTTGAATGTCCTACTTATAATCGAGCTTAACCCTTTAAAATGGCAAGTGTAACCAAATGTTTTACCAAGCGGTGAGCTCATGATGTGAGTTGGTGTTTAAACAGCTACAGTAGAAGCCCAGGAGATGGCTGTTGTTGCAATATGTGATAACTGTGTTCTTGTTTGTCCTCTGTTTAACATTTTACTTGTTACTTTTTTTCAACAAAAAAGCAATACAGCTAACCTTTTTTGGCAGAAGAACATTCACACGTGACAAGTTTCATTTTGTTGTCTTACTAGAGACAAAAAAGAAAATATGAGTCACTAAAGGACTGCTGACATGGCCGTGGAACAAAAGACACATTATGTTATTGCAAATAAATAACATAATGTTATTATGTTATTTATGTGAAGGCCTTTGACGTGCAACCCAGTGTTCAAACTTTTGAGGAAATTATAGATGAGTTTCCTTTATATGAGATCCATTCATTACCTTTCCACGTGTACATTTAGCTTTTATCAACTTGTGTTTTTTAAGGGAAATACCACAGATATCCACATTTCCCTTTGAGGAACTCGGAATTGGGGACATTTCCTTGATTTCATAACTTTGCTCTGCTGTCATGTTTGGGCATAGAAGAGTCATGTGATAGTCGGTCAAATGAAGTCAGACTAACAAATAAGAAATGGCATTTTATGCTTTTTTAGTTGCAACTCAAATAAGTGACGGAAATAAATATATTTTATGAATAAAATCAACCTATGTAGAAGGTGACATTCAGGGATGCAAACATTAAAACATGGGACTGTAATAGCAGTATTATGTTGAGTAACTTATTTTGATAAAGTAAGGAATAACAGTGGTTTACTTTGGGCTGTAACATACTGTAAGATAAATTGCACCATTAACCTTTATGAAAACTAACTCCATACTTGGAAATAGTCTGAGAGACCAACCCTTGGAGGACAATCGAGTCACAGAAAAGATGATAAGCCAGAGCAAAGTGTGCGGGACACTGATACAACCAAGGTCGAGAAAAGTTTTCTAGCAAAACCATATCAGAATGAAACTATTGGTCACAAAAACAGAAACAATAGCAGCTTCACTTAAATCCACTTTATTGACGACAGGACTTTATGCACAGTAGTTGGCTGCTGTTGTTCAGTAATTCAATAGAGGACAAGTAGACAATGTTAATCATGGAGAGGAAACTATATACATTTTAATATTTTGTTTGATGGTACAGACCATAACTCTATCATTACATATAATAACTTAATCCCCTAATAGGAGACTGAACCAGAAAAGAAAACAGAAGTTTCAGCTGCAGCACAGATGATACAGGACGTGAATTGCCAAACACATTGTGAAAGATTTGAAAAAACCCACAACCATTTTAACCCCACCTTTTCAAGTAAAAACTGAAGTTGTAAACAGAATATTACATGAAGACATTACTCAGAAAACAGAACTTAAGTCATGGGATGTTGCCCAACCTGCTAAATTATTGGTGTCATTTCCTGTATCACTCACTAGAATTAATTTTTCTTAATGTTCAATTCTAATGATGCTAAACGGCAAAATATCTATCTGCTAAACCTGTTAAAGCCATAGAATGATCATGTTTAAGGCAAATAAGCAATGGTTAAGGTAAGACCTATAAACAGTTAGTTAAGATTAGCAAAGGTTCAGTGCAATTAAAAGGTGAACAACAATTGCAGGCTGCACTGGACACATCTATAAATAATGTGTAATTTACACAAGTAATAATGAGTTTAACAATTAAATTAAACTTAAGAATTAAAGCACAATTAAAGATATGGCTCTGAGCAATATTAAACTGTACATTGTCAATGGTTACATATTCAGTGTAATAAATAAAGGCCAAATAAACAATTTTAAGGATGGTAAAATTAAATGGAATAAATAAATGGCTGCAGTTATATGAAACCCAAACTAGCCTTAAACCCTGGGAAGTTGACCCACAAAATAAGGTCCCCCATCTGCCATAGCACCAAGACATGTCGCTCTGTAGATTTGTCATTCTTAGTAGTTTATCTTTTGAATCTCTCTGTGGTTGTTTTTATTCTCTTCGTGATCATTTTATGTCTCCCTGTAGAAACCTATTGAGGGCCATCAGATTTAATTTCGGGAGGGTTCACTTGCGTTGCTGATATATTCTGCTGCTTTAATCAGTAAACTATATAACCCTGGTCTTGTAAAACTACCTGCCAACAGCCACAATGTTCTCTAAAATAAATACTAAGAAACAAGCAAGTTCAGGTTTTACAAACCATGACCACGTGAGATGCAGTTTATCTTCTATTATGAATAATCCACATTTCCATATATATTTTCTGTGTGTTTCATTCGTTGACCCATCTGACCTGGAGGGGCCTGCAAAAACAAAATGTAGGTTACATGTACTTTTTTGCCTTATTTACGATGTTATTATATTACAACCATTTACTGTGAATGTAAAGTATAGTAATATAGTACCTCAACGTTGTTGTAGACAGGTTCATCAATGACTTTCAGTTCAGAAGTGTTCTCGTTCTCTTGAGTCTTGCTAGATGCGTTTCTGAAAAGACAAACAGACATGTTTGGATTCTAATTTGAGAAACAAAATGTGTTATTTTATCTGCAACTTGCGAACAACTTGTGGAATAATAGTTTTCACTAGACTAAAACCTCTTCGTGAGTCTAGTCTTAATTCTTTACAGACGATGAAGTCGTGTATCCTCTTGTGAATCTCGCAAGAATAACTCAGAAACAGAGAACACTGTGACGAAGCCAAAAAGGCTGTGTGGTTTAAATATATTCATGTGAGTTTTTCTTTTTATTGTATTATTATAGATTCATGTGACATCTCTGCAGCATATTTTCATAGCTTAGTTTGTCTTGATAAGAAGGATGTATATTTCTACAGTACAGGGTAAAGGTAGAATATTATTTTACAGAAGGAGACTAAAGGCAACCAAACACTTGAAAGAAGGATTTAGAGTAATTTCACAATTTAACAACAAATCAATAATACTTTCCATTTGTATAATGCCTTAATATGATAAACGTAGACAAAATAGAGCCTATCTTTTGAATAAAGCTTAAATGCTAGAGGCTACTTTATTTTCCCCATATATTATACATTTCCAAACAAACAGCCTAGGATGGGTCAATAAATAGCAATCATTTCATTCACAATAAATATCATGAAACAAACCTTTTAGCTTGGTTTGATGATACTCGGCTAACATTGGCGTAATATCCAGATTCTTCCCTGGTCAAAGGTTGTGACCTGCCAAATATGACAATTAGATATCAGTCTTCCATTTTAGCAGAAATGTGAGCTTATATAAAACAAACACATTTAAAAAAGATAACCCCTCCAGACATTTTTACTTTACTTCACTAATGCATCAAGAAAGACAAACGCAAGGACCAGTCATTACACAAAACGTTACCTTTTGTTTTTTAAGAAAAAGAAAATTCCAGCCCCACAAATAATGATCAGAAGTGCAGCAACAGGTACAAAGATGGCTGTATACTTGTATACTAGTGAAGAAGATTCCTGGAGTGTAGCCATTGTGGAGGATACTGCAATATCTGTGGAAAAAAAATTGAAATAGAAATGTAATTACAATTTAACTTTTAAATGTTATAATGAAACTGTCCTTAGAAGAAAACTGTAAACGTACTTGTAGTATCTTCAAAGGTTGGTAATGGTTGTGGTATAATATCAGAAAAACAAAGTAGTTTCATTAAAATTACATTTTACCCTACTTTTTTAAAGAAAAATAAACAACAGCAAATTAAGGAATACTCAGAAACACATTATATACATTTAAATTATGTGCTTAAAGGTTATACCTGACGTATGAATGGCTGGGATAACATCACCTGTGAAAAAAATTCTGGTTTATTTCTTCTTTTTAATTTGTATATATGTACTTTAATGAAATGTACTCAAATTATTACCAGACACAGATATGGAGACAGAGTATGTTCTGTAACTGTACTTCCATCCCTTTCCGATAGCTCTCATATAGATATTTAGTTTTTCATCCGTGAAGTTAAAGATGCAGAGGGAGCAGCTTTTTGGGGTTACACTTCCAAAGAGCTTGGTCTTTCCTCTGTACTTCTCATTCACAAGTGTTTTATTCGGGTGAAAAACGAATGCATCTGGGTCTTTGTCAAAGGAAAAGTGACTTCTCTCAAATGTTTTCCAGTATACTTGAACATTTTCAGAAGATACATTTGACGGATAGGTAAAGCTACAATGTATGGTCACGTTTGAGCCCAGTGTTGCTTGAATGTTTCTGGTGACCTTAACATTCCAAATTTGATCTGTGTGACCTGTGTTAAAGAATAAACGAGAATTATTATTTACATTTAAGTGCATACTTCGTTGGAGGACATTCAAGACAAGCACAAATATGTCACACACCTTCTGAGGTCAGCATCAGTATGAGGCTAAGATGAATCAGGCTCGGCAGCTTCATCTGACCAAAGAAAGACACTCAGAGGTTAACCAACATAATCCTGACACCTTACAGTCCCCTGGGTTCTATCTCATCTGGAAGCCTACATGTGACAAAATTGTGAAGTTAAACTGCCTATATTTTGTAGTACGCAAATACTCACTGTGAGAGGAAGTCCGAAGAGTTTCCAGGGCTTTTTGTGCTTTGGCATATGACATTATA